TAGATTTTCAGTACTGGGAGTAAATATTAGAACGCAATTTCAAAAGAAATATAAACAGTTGACTGTGGAGGGCTTAAGTTCTACAATGTCCTGTAAGTAAGGAAATCATTGACAAGTTATAATGTAATCCACAAAAACCAACAAATTATCGTTCTATTTGAGATATTAAATGATATCATTTTGATTTCCTATAAATGATTATTTTTTGATATCATCTTAATGTCATCTTTTACGTGACTTTGTTCTGCTTGGGTGAGTCACTTGTTTTCGAAACATATGTTAATTCATTATTAAATATGCGTATGTAAATTTATTTTTGATTTATAGTTTGGAGAATTGATAACCTTCTTGAAGTTTATTATTAAATTAATTAATATGCTTTTTGCTACACGTGCGCAATTATACATATAATAATATCTAACAAAAACTTATATTATTTTTTATTTCTTAAAAATATCGTAGAGGTATAAAATATTACGTCAGATATTTCAACAAATATATTTTTGTACTAATATATATAATCCTTTTTATGATTTATATATATATATAAATGTGTGTGTATGTGTGTGTGTGTGTGTGTGACTTTAATATTTTTCATATAATTATATAGGACATATATTCATAAAGAGTATTGTCTCATGTGTGCGTGATATTAATGCGCTCTGAATAGCACTCTGTAGAAATACGCATGCGCTCTTTCTATCATATGTTCGACAGCGTGCTCGACCATGTGGTTCTAAGTTGCGCGATATTTCTGTATATTTTATTGTGTAAAGTGTATATAATACGCAATACGTAAAAATAGTGGTTACCTGCTAAGCAATTCATAATGGCGATTCAAGACATAGATATTTGTTTAAACGTAACAGCAGAACCGGTTGTTGCCGCGAAAAAGGTAAATGTTAGGTTAGGTCAGGTTATGAAATTTATGAAACTACCATAAACTTAGAAAATTTCAGAAATATCACAAGATCCGTACAATTAATAAGTAATAGCTTAATAAATATGCAAGAATAGATGAGTGAATTAACCTATAATAGATCATTTTGCTCCAACTAATAGAAAAAGGGCCAGGTTGCCAAGACATCAGTTAAAAGATTGAAGCATCAATCTTTGCAAAAAGCGGTGTATAATAAAGAATCGAAAAGAAATATGAATGTACAAAAGACAGGAGGCAAAACAAGAATTAAACAGAAATCTCTGCCAGCTATCTTTGCTAAGAAATTAAAAGATTCAACTAGCGTTCATAACATACTGCAGCAGTCGCAGATTTCATTTCAAGCTAAAAATACAATAACTGAAGTTAGAGAGACAGAAAAGATTAAACAGCCTGATACAAAAGATAAGAAAACCTTAAAATCTGATGGAATTTCATCTGCTTTAAATTCTGGTGCCACAGATGAACCAATAGTATCTTTTACTAAGACAGCAAAAGAATACTTTGGTAAAACATTGCTAGCAAAGAAGAGAAATATGTCAGAGAATAAACAGAAGAAATCTCTTTCCGACATATTTTCAAGTCAATTTAAGAATCAGACTCAATTAAATATAAGCACAATTCAGAAATATGACATTGATAAAAATAGTATAGGAAACAAAGAACCTGAAATAGTAGTAATTAAGAAACCATCTGTGTCAAAAGACAAAAAAGAAAGGATAGAGCAGGATAAACAAAAAGAAAAGGTTAGAAATAAAAAAATAGTAAAAAAACATAAAGAAAAGATTCCAAATGATGACAAGGAATTAGACAAACTTTTAGGATTATTGCACAAACCTGGTGGAAAAATCTCTTCTTTATTTGGGAATAACCCCGATATACCAACCATTGGCCAGAGACTTGTAAAACCTGTAAATGAACCAATTTTTACAGAAATTACTTTTGAAAGTCTCAATATTCATCCATTTATGGTTAGTCTATTATATACTTATTTAATACACCTATTATATAAAATGGAGGATATTTATATATATTATATATTATGTGTCAACGATTTTCTCTTACAGATATCAAATTTAGCACAAAATATGAATATTACAAAGATGACAACAGTTCAACAGAAAGCGATTCCTCAGATATTCTCAGTTCGAGATATTTTAATAAGGTCTCAGACAGGTTCTGGGAAAACATTAGCTTATGCTATACCTATTGTCGAATCATTACATAAAATTACACCCAAATTAAATAGAAATGATGGTTTGTCAGCTCTTATAGTCGTACCGACCAGAGAATTAACCTTACAAACATATGAGTGTTTCATAAAATTGGTTAAAGTAAATTGAAAAAAATATAACTTGTATATATTAATATTTGTTACATTTGTATGCACATGTTAAGATCATATTAAATTTTTTTAGCCGTTTACATGGATCGTACCAGGATACTTAACTGGTGGGGAAAAGAGAAAAGCAGAAAAGGCACGATTGAGAAAAGGGTGTAATATATTAATAGCTACTCCTGGTAGATTATTAGATCACATAAAGCACACGAAAGCATTGAAATTGCATGAGGTTAAATATTTCATATTGGACGAAGCTGATAGAATGCTTGACATGGGATATGAAAAAGATATCTCTGAGTAGGTTTTAATTTTGCAATGAAATAATACTTATACTTATTATAATAATATTTATAATACTTATAATACTTATTTCTGATAAAAAAAATTATATATATAATTGATAATAAAATTATAAAAAAATTATATATATAATTTTTTTATCAGAAATATATATATATATATATATATATATATATATATATATATGTGATCTGAAATATATATATATATAATCTGAAATATATATATATANTATACTATATAAACATATTATTATATAATTTATATATTTATATATTCTTTATATAAAGAATATTATTATATAAACAGTTACATTATATATATATATATATATATATATATATAATGTAAGTGTTTAAAACATAATTACTTAACATATTGAGAGTGATTCAATATTTATTAATAATTATAATTAATACATGATAACATATTATACAATTTAGGATAGTGAGTGCTTTAAAAGTGTCAAGTGTTAATAAAGATGAATCAGGATATGATCCTATGAAAATGTTGAAGCAGAATGTTAAGAAAATATATACAGATGAAGATGTCGAAGCTCTAGTGCAGGAAAATTCAAAGGAAGAAAATAATAAAATAGTAGAAGATAGTGGTGCACAGAAACAGATGTATCATTCGAGTGATGAGAGTGATAATGATGAAGCCACTAATTATACCGTTCTAGTGAAGAAGAAAAAGAGAAATACGAAATATTCCGACATGAGTAAGATATCCGTTTCAGGAACGGAAAGTACTCGAGAAATCGAGCAAGATCGCGAGGAAAGTAAATCGAGAAGAAAGACAATTCTACTTTCCGCGACTTTGACACAAGCCGTCGAAAAATTGGCTGGTCTGACGATGCGGAACCCGATTTTCATTGACGCGGCTAAGGAAAATTTAGAAGTGAGCGGTGGTGATATCAGTGAGGTCAACGAGGATTTAGTAGTGCCACAAAGTGTAACCCAGAGTTATATAGTCATTCCATCTAAATTAAGAATGGTCACTCTGAGTGCTTACATCGCTGGGAGATGTCAGGTAAGGAACATTTCGGTTTCCATCGGAAAAACGATATAGCGATTCTACTATTTTGTGATAGTGCGAAACTATCTATACAATTTTTTTAAAATTTATACAGGCTCCCGGGCAACATAAAATATTGATCTTCATGGCTACGCAAGACATGGTAGACTACCATACTGAGATTCTATCGTCAGTCCTTACGAAACCGATAAACGATGATGACGAAGACTCCGATCCGTTGGTTGACGTGGAATTCTTTAAGCTGTATGGCAATATGACGCAAAAGGAGAGGACGAAAGTTTTTAGCACATTCAGGCAAGCGGAAAGCGGAGTACTGCTGTGTACGGTGAGTTTAGCATTCCATATTGTCGAAAATTGCACGAAATGCTCCGACTACCAAGATTTTGTGAACGTATATCGATGAAATGTTTCCTATTAGATCGACTACATGCTATAAATATGAAAATTTCCCGAGTTTTTTATTTTTCTCGAAATTATAAGACGTTTTAGACGCCGCAAGAATTAACATCGATTAAAACCCAGAAAGATAGAAAGCGTAGAGCTAAAGAAAAGTCGGAAATATCTGCCGGCACTCCCTGAGTTGTAAATTATCGCGCGGCTTATTCTTTCGAGAGAGAGAATTTAATACCTCCGGACCCACGCTGAGATCGGTGGTTAAAGATTATGCGGGCGCATGAAGCTTTCGTAATGAGTATAATTACGATCATTTGTCAGTTCTCTGTATCCGAGTGTGCGATTTCTTTGCTCGGTCGAGCAATCGTTTAGTTAACCCGAAATTCGCGCGACAACATTACTTTTCTTCTGTTCGTCGAATTTCTAAATTCCTAATTTTGCGCAAAACAAATCGCACCGGGTGCTCATCTAATGGTAGCAGGATATTTTTAATTTGCATTGCGATAAATATGCGACCCCGAAATATTTATCTATTTGCGGGATACTCGATGGAAGCGCCCGTTGCGCTAATTGCATTCCGTGAACGGCATAATTAATCATGACGCGATAATGTTCGCAACGTAACGGACAACTTTCTTTCCCCGTCGCTAATTACATTCGTATTACATCGGCCGAATTAATCCGATGTCGAATAACAGAGCAACTTTCTGATTCGCGCTGAACTCACGACGGCTACCTTAACCGTCGTAATTACCGGTGAAAGCGATCGATTTCGTCGTTAGACGCGCGCGGGAACCGTCGAAAAAATAAAACGCCGCCGGTCTCATTATATATCTTTCCTCATCGGCTAATTTAAATTTTAGCGTGAAATACTGTTATGGCGCTTTCACGTGTCCGAAAATATTGTGGACATCGGAAGAACGCGCACAAATGAAGGAAAAAGAGGAAGAAAAAGAGATTAAATCGCGGCAGGACGATGCGGATTGTGAACTTCACGATCGGCGTCACGCGAACGAGTGACAACTTACGCGCGGTGTAAGAATTAATTCTTTTCCATCAGGCGATCCTGCGGCCGACGAAAATTCCGAAGTCTCGCCGCGAGTCCTCGTTATACTCTCTTTCTCTCTTTCCTTCCGCTGCCCTCGTTAAGACCTACATATTGCGTCTAATTGGCGACCTGTTCTTTCGGATTGCGTCTCGAGTTATTATCACGGTGAAAGAAAAGCAGCGCGATCGAAATATACAAAACTGACTCCGAACAGTCGCTTGTCGAACTTTATAGCTTCCTGCGCGAGCGGTATTCTTTCACAGTCTCATTCATACTCGGGTCTCGTGTACGCCGTAATTTATCCGGCAAGTCGAACTTTGAATAAAGAAATTACACCGCGAATGAAATAACAATATTCCTCGTGGCGACGAAGTGAATCAATTAGAACACGGAAGGATTAAAATTACGATCGAATCTGTATTTGCATATCTTTAGAAGCACGCGAGTGTGTACCAGCACAGCCTTATGATGATTCGAAGATCGATTAATATTCCGATATTTATTATCCTTTGATGAACACCTCTCGAACACTTTTCGCAATTCGACGCAGATTGCACTTTTAACTTAGCGAAGTTTTAACGTGACGTTCGTACATTCGAGAGCATCAACGCCGCCTTGCCAACATCGACACGAGCAGGAGGGAGACGAGGGAGGGAGCGGAATAATTTACTGTGTACTTAGAGAGACGTCGGGCATATTTAACTCTTTAATGTTGATCCGCGGAATGCGCGATAGCAACCGCCCACGTTTTACGGCGTCGCTACCACGTAGGTTTTACGGCGGCGTTATTAATTTCCACGTTGAAAAGCCCGTTGAGGGCACCCGCGGCCGGAATGTTCCGCGGCTCTCAGCGGTGGTGGATCCGGATCCACCGGTGTGATCTATGACTCGAGTGAGATGTTTTGAGGGGGCAATCCGTTCTCGATCCCGCGGCCCGCGAGCCCGGTCCCTTTCTTAAACGATCGTTTGTCTTAATCGCCGCCATCGATCGCCCTTCAGCACGCCGCTTTCTTTACGTGCCTTGAAACCGGTGGCAAGTACCGTGCTTGTATCATTTTAATGCGCTAAGTGCACATGCTCCGCTTGAAATCGCCGTGCGAAAGTGACTATAGAATACTTCGCGAAGTTCGCGTCGAACATCTACCTGCACGATAAATATTTTGTATTTGCGTCAAAATTGGTCCTTGCTAAAGTGTTTGTGTTAAATTTTTATTTAACGTACGTTAATTTAATATATTGTGTTTATGTTGTCTCAATATTTATATTTGGGTTGAGCCGATATTCGATGTGTGTGAGTATTAAAATAACACATTCAATATTTCAGTGTCAATTATATTACATATGGATATTAATTTTGGGTCAATTTTTGATGTAATGTTTGTATTACTTTTTAACTTATTCATCTTGTGTTGAAGTAACACAAAAATTCGTGTTTGTGACCATTTGGGACATGTGAAATGTGTTAAGTTTAGCAGGAAATTTCTTACTGTGTGTGACAGAGATGTTCTCTTTGGAAAAGAAATTTACCATAGCGACGATATGGATTTAATTAACGTAATACGTGAAAATATTTAACGAATATTTTTCCATTTAATTTCACTTAAGGTATATATGCTAGGATTCCTTTTCAAATTGCTCCGATTGCTTTGTACGTTCTATTATTATCCTTGACATTTCGTGAGTATTCATTGATTCCTCGTAAATATTTCCTGCTTCTCGATCTCTTACGTGTAAGTTGTCCTCGTTCTTGTTAATATTCTTAATCGCACGAAATAAAAAGTAGCTAGAGATTGTTTTTTTTTTTATCAGTATATAAATTTATCGAAGCATGAAATATAACGGAACTCACAGAGCGAGTCCGGGGAAAAGGATATTGGTCCGATCGATATTTATTTCGAGAGCTCTCTCTCTCTCTCTCTTTTGGAGGCTTCTTTCTCGTATTCCTTCACACTGGCGCCCGGATCGCGCCGTCGTCGACGTGTGGTGAATTAATAGGAGGAAAAGATGTAATAAGAATACACGGGTACGTCCGTATCGTGCCGCGAAAGAATTCCGGGGTGCCGCGACGCCCCCCACTGGTGGTCTGGGATTAGTCCCTGGAGTCCGTCAAGCGGAAAGAGAGAGAGAGACTGCGTGCGCTCTCGACACGGTAAATCATCGGCTAGCTGAACGTAGAAAATCAGGGCCGTGCTCAAACGTTCGCCGTTGGGGTCCCGCAGCGGGCGCCCGCTGCCAGCCGTGCGCATTCACGTCGCCACAAAACGAGAAATCACCGCGGTTTGTAAGACATTTGTACCAGCAGGTCGCAGACTCTCGCCGTTGCCGCTCCTCCTCGTGGAGCCTACTCGGGCTTAGTAGAGTCCCTAGAAGAAAAGTCTGGCTAATATTTGATGTAAAATGGCGTATTAGCGACTGCATAATGCGTGCACGCACATGCATTTTTAGGAAGAAATTTCCCAGCCATTCTAGGGAACGGCTGAAACATTCCATTTTTTTTTTCTTAAAATGTGCATTATTATTAAAACACATTTGCTTTACATTAAGCAAATAATTTGCGATATTTGTTAATTTTCTCGTGAAAAAAATTAAGATATTCAATTCAATACACTGCAAAATTGTCACGATTTGTGCAATGAAGTTAAAATTTGTTTTATCAAAATTAAGCTGAAGAAGTTATCAGCCGATTGGACAAACCCGTTTTCAGTAACAAAACTATGGCTGTGTAATTAAATAAGGATATTTTACACTCTCATTCTATTTTACTGTCATAAATGAATATGTTTATGTAATATTTTATGAATATATGTTGAATGTTTATGAATATTTTAATGGTTAATGTGATATCTGTAATTACTTAATGAAAATTATGTATTTGCCTTAAAAAGACAAGTCGGTCGACTCGCGCGTGCTCTGCGACGAGGTGTAAGTTGTGCTTCTTCTGTTCGATTATCCAGGATGTCGCGGCGCGAGGATTAGATATGCCGAAGGTAGATTGTGTCGTTCAGTACACGGGTCCGATCTCGGCTAGGGATTACGTTCATCGAATCGGTAGAACCGCACGTGCCGGATCCTCCGGCACAGCCACGATCTTTCTAACGCCCTCGGAGATCGAGTTCGTGCGGATGCTTGAGTCGAGACGCATCAGAATCAAGCAGGAGGACATGAACGATGTCTTAGACAAGTTGGTGGGACCTCTCTCTAGGCACAATTCCATTCAGGCGGCGGCTACCGCTCTTCAAAACGATTTTGAAAATCTAATATTGGAGAATCGGCAACTTAGCATGAAAGCGTGCAAAGGTGAGCGCAACTTTTCACATTGCATAATTATCATAATTATATATATTATTTTTATTATATATATTATATTTATATTATATATATTATATTTATATTATATATAATTTTATATATATATAATTCATCTGCACAGCTTTGAGATTTCACAAATTGGAATCATTATATGTCGTTAATTAAAACAAAACCGAATGTAACATTCATAGACCAAGTACTAATTCTAAGATGATAATTTGTACTGAAACTATACGAAACTTAGCGGCACGGTAGTGAGATAAGTCGTTTCGTCAACGCTTAAATAACCCTTTCATTGTTATCGGCGTGTATATTCGAGTGCATGTTTTAAGAGATACTCGTGCAGTAAAAGCTTAAATCTTCGCCGTCGCGAGAGGGACGAAGTGTTGATGAGAAGTCGCGAAGGATGAGCTGAAACATCCACTTTGACGCAGTTGGATTGTAACGAAAGCGAGCTGACTTCAGGGTAGAGTAAGCCAATTCCAGTGGGCACCCCCCTCGCATATAAAGCAACCCCTACACGCACACGTTATGGGGCTCTTATTCCGTCTCCCTTCACATTCGCCTCGTCCGCCACTCGGATATTTACATAGTCTATGGGCGAGCAGGGATGATCCTGTTTGCTATGCCGCGGTTACTCTATTAGGGTCGTTACGGAGAAGAATTTATTTGCTGCAATAATAAATCCATTATTCCTGGTCTAATACGCTCACGAAGTGAAGACATTAGCCCTCTCCGCGCACACGGTGAACTTTTTCCTCCCCGCGGCTCCGCTTGCCTTTTCGTATAAATATCATCAATTAATCACTTGTTGCTTCCTTTTATATAAAATGCTCCCGTTATTCGACCGCCTTATTTGACACCAAAAGCAACTTTATCGTCTTCAAATATGAATATTTACATTTAATATTTATTCAGTTCTATTACATTTTTCGTCTCTATCAGGTTTGAAGAGAGTCTGAAGGAAACTTCCGTTTTATTAACGCGATAATAAGGACGTAATGCGAAGCAATTCGCGACTATTACTTTCGCGGGAGTGCATTAACGACTGTGTCACGATACTGTGGTCGATTGCTATAACCGCGCGAACGACAAGCGATACCAAAAAGGAAATTCGGGATCATTAATCTTTTTAAGAGGTTTTCGAGCTTCGAAATTGTCCCGCATCAGCCGGGGCTTTACACGAAGGTTAGCCACGGTTTTTGAGCGCTTAGCCGCCCCAGATTTGAGTGACGTTACACAGCTAACCACTTGACCGTTCCTCCGCACGTACCCGGTGATTGATAGATTAATTGCCGCCGTCGGTCGTGACCCCGGTATTGCACTTTTCGCATGTGAACTGGAATTACGAGGGAGCGAACGAGAGGAAAGCGGGAGGTGTTTGTATGCATCGGCAAAAGTTATTATATTTACAAAAAATACTTTTAAATCTCCCTTGAAAAATAGTAATACGAAGAAAAGGATATTCAAAAGTTGTAATTATCTTATCAAAAGAATAATGTAGTATACGCATTATTTTGCGATTTTCAGGATAAGCTCCCTATCGAAATTTGGATACTATTCTGACGGCCTTAAGGATAGTTTATTCCTAATTAAACGGCCTATAGACTATTTTAACGATATTGATATTTTTTAACTTCTTTTTTGAAATTTTAATTTCACAAATCGAATCTTAATGCTATCTCCAATAACCTATTTTGATACTAAAACGGCGAAAAATTTAAGGCATCAGGGTCAAAGTAGGGGTTATATTACATTATTATTAGAATTGAAATTGAACTTATTTTGCTAGCATAACTCTTACTATGTTGTAGAATTAAAGATTTAACAAAGAGGCAAAATTTCGAAAAAATAAAAAAGCTTATAATTTCCTAAGATAATTTCTTCACGCGAATATAAAAATAATTTCTAATAAAAAAAAATGTTTATATATTTATTTATTTAAAGAGAGAGTCATAGTATGATAATTAAACCGAGGAGAAGATCGGTTATTCTTAAGTCAGCGATAACATTGCACTCCGGGCATAATACGTATACATGGTACACTTCAATGTTGGAATTAAGATCGTAAAGACGTTCGCGCAACAGACGCACAATAGGAATATAGTGCGGTACGTGGGCGATATCCTCACGGCAATTCCGAAATTTATTTAATTCGCCGCCGATGCGGAGGCTGGCCGACGAGCGGAGAAGTGGAAATCTCGCTAATTCGTAACATTATCACCCCAATAGAGCCGAACAGCCTTCAATAGCAAGTACAGCTCTATAGAATGATCCCCAAACAGCGACCCTCGCCACTAACCTGAGGGATTCATCCACTCCATCCCGTATATACGATTTGAGCCTCGTGTCGGAGCTCGCCTATATCCAATTCGTCATAATTTTTTGCTAGTATTTTTTTAAATTTTACTTAACAGAAGTATAATAACGATCTCACGTGGATTTCATTATCGGGTCGTTTCTTTCGAGCTCATTCAAGTTACCTACAATTTGTCGATACGGTGATAATAGAAGTTAAAACGTAGGTGATGTATCAAATCATATTCGCATGGATTTAAAATAATAAATTTGCCCTCGGCCTCACATTTTTTGGTCAATTTGAAATCAACTTCTTTCAAAAAAGGCGGTATTTATTTAAAGAAAGAAATATATTTCACTAAATTACATTGTCACGATATTTTTGGTCGTCCCCGATCCGATTTACTCGTCGTGAGTTAGATCGAATTCAGTGTATATCGCTCGCGCGCCTTTCACAGGGGGTGGCCGACACAATCCAACCACTGAATGTGACTTCCGCCAAAACCACTTACGCTTTGTGGCGAGAGACTCTTAACAATGCGATACAGGATACAAATACAATAAGACGCAGTTACATCACTTAGGAACAATGCTACCCCACTCTTACACCCCGTTCTCTCCGCCGCCCCGGCTTCTCAGCTAGACACACCGCCCCCGCGTGTGATTTATGTGCTAAATGGAGAAAAACATTTCTCCCTTTTCAACGCTGACACCAAGCCACGAGAAAGACTTCAGCAGGGTTTCTTATGTGCGGAAGGGAGGAGTCAGATTGGAAGCAGACGGAAATCAGGACGGAAAACGTCGAGACATAAGTCCGACTGCGAGAGAATTATGAAAATTGCGGACACTTGTGCGCGAGGGGAAAGTCCGAGCGGAACGTTTACTTGCGACTAAATCTGCTCCATTCGGCGTTGTAAGACGAAACGAATTGGATAAGAATTCGATGAAACTTGTTCCTTAAACGTAATTAAGTTTCAAATGAAATGATAGATGCTATTCAAGCGGGTGTCAAAATACATTAGTTTCTAAATTGCATTTAATCGGTTTAAAAAAGAGCAGTTCACACCGTAAAGCGAGAAATTTAGTTCTCTTATTCGGCGACTTGGTCATTGATTGTCATTGATCGCAATCGCATATCATCGCAGTCATCGGCTATGATGATAACGTTGCGAATGATTATCGGTCTGGCGTAGCGATCTCCTCACTTTGCAAAACGCCCCACCGTGAGAGGCGCGTAAAAATTAGACAACCTACAAACAATCGGGAACCAAATTTATCCACTCCCCCGTTCGAGCCGGGAGATTTTTCGCACGGAACGGCGTGCCGGCGCGCACATGTCGAGTTCTCTCAGGACCAGAGATCCCCCGAGTTTCTCACCCGCGCGCACAAGCACAAGACGTTAAGAAGGGACGCGAGGGTGACTATTAGCTGCAGCACTTGACTCGACTACTCCCTCCCCTCACCGTTAATGCCCCTTAATAGCCCGCCACGGGGCGCGCACACACCCCACGGAATCGCGTGGGCCAACCCCCGTGGAACCTAATGGAACTGCGATTAATAAGGGCGCACTACATGTAACTGATCATTACATCTGAGTTGCACGTGACCTCTTAAGCGTAGATGAGATGAGTGTACTCGGAGAAGATGTCTCTCGACTTTAACCGGTTTTCGGACGCGTTTCTCTCAAAAGAATGAACCGAATTTTTCTTACTGTTTTTCCTTACTCTTGAACACAACGCATGTTTGTGTATTTTTACTGTATCTTTAACAAACAAATATTTTTGCTATTCATGGGACGACTTTTGTCCTTTGCTAATAAGGAATCAATATGTAAATTGGCAAACATTTTTTTTTATCGGCCTGTGCTATCAATTAATTTAAAATCGACTGCAAATTAATTATGCATTCGGTGACATGTGTTTTTTACCATATGCATCGCATGACTTATTTCTTTTTTTATTTTTCATGTGACTAACAATGTAATCGAATTCGATATCCTCAGTGGAGCACGAGCGATGGTCGGCAGGTTAATTGTTGATATTTTGCACGATATCTTCTGTTTCTCTTTAGCGTACGCCTCTTGGGTACGTTTCTACTCGAGTTACCCCCGCGACATGCGCGAGATATTCAATCGGAAGGAGCTTCATTTAGGTCATTATGCGAAGAGTTTCGCACTGAGGGATCCGCCGCATCGAATCGGCGGAATGGGTAAGAAGCTGCGCGATGAGGAGAGCTCGACGCCCAAGCACAACAATCGACTGTCGAACAAACCGTAAGTAATTACAACGAGACTAGTTTCCTTTTATATCACGTACGAATCCCCCGAATAACGTTAAGCGACGAAATAACGGCCGGTATATCTCCAAATCGCCGTTTATTCCTCTCAAGACCGTCGACACTCGTTCCAAGTTCGAAGTTCCGAGGCGTACAATCCGCGTCACGCACAATTGCGGCGAACAATATGTTCCCATTTCGGGAGATAGATAGAGAGAGAGAGAGAGAGAGAGGGAGCAGCACAAATGGCCCGGCTCTTGACTCGCTCAGCTGACATTTCAGCCGAGCGATCGCAGACTCCATCGTCTCCGGAGTGACGGTATTAATGACGGATTCACGCGTGGCTTAGCGTGCTAACCGTGGCGCACATCGCCGGCTCTCTCTCTCTCTCTCCTCCCCCCCCCCCCC